AAGAATCAATGATATGAATGATTGTGATTTTAATGCAAATGAATGTGAAGCATAAGTTAATTGTGAAATCCATGGGGGAAATTTTGGGGTGCAACAATATAATATTTAATTATTATTATAATTCTCAATAAAATAAACTAAATTATTTAAATCTAAGTAATTCTAATTGTCACCTCTATTCCCACTTACAACCCATAACATATCATCATAAATCACACAGATAATCACCAATAATCAATTAAATAAATAATTTTAATTATGGGGTGTTACACTTCTATGGTTATAAAAAGAAAGACTCTAAACCTAAAAGATTGATGAAACTGCATATGAGAGAATATATTTTAGGGTTTTGTCTATTAATTGTTTTTTGTGAGCCATTCTTGCATCACGTTGATGCTTGAATTGGACTGAGTTTTGAGTTGTACTTTGTGAATCACTCATGAGCTTTTAAGCAAGAGTGGATTATGTTTAATTGGAAGTATGTCTTCTATTTATTGTCATTGTTATTATTATCAATGTTATGTGGTTGAGGAGAAGTGAGATGGGTCTCATATCTAGGAGTTTTTAAATATAAATAGTATGGATAGTGATTAGGTGTGAAGTTTGTAAAATCAGAGGTTGTTGAGAACTTCAAACTAATACTATTATTGTGGATTTTCTTCCTGGCTTGGATGCTCCTAGATGAAGGTGATGTTGCACCGAACTGGGTTAACAACTGAATTGTGTTATTTACTTTCTGCATCTTCCTTTAAATTTTTTATTGTTATTTCTATTGTTACGATGTCTTAACATTACGCTCGATATTGCGTTTGACATCCTAGTGTTGTGATATCGTATACGATATTTGTCTTATTTTTCCGAAATTTCAATTTTTGATCAATTTGTATGAGAACTATTATGTTGCATTCGTCGAGGCTGATGGTGATGATTCTAGGGTTGCATACAACAAAGTGTGAGCATTGAGGTCATACCTCTTAGTTTTAGTCGAAACATCCATTTTTATGGACAAAAGTGTGACCAGTGTTGATGTTATCTACCTCATATATTTTATTGACTTGGAAAGGATCCACGAGTATAATTGGGGGATTTTCTTGTTTGGTGTATCTCTACTCTTAGTTGAGGGTAATATGTGGAAACTTGACAGTTTACTGAAAAACAACTATTTATTTACAACAAGTTCTTACACGCTTACTAATATTATTATCATAGTACCTACATTACATTGTTCTTTTACTAATATTTCACCTTAACCACTTTCATGCATGGATCCACCATTATTTTCTATGTCTTGTCGGTTGGGCATATGTGAATGACTATTCTAAGGCCCTGCACGTGCGTGCTCGATCATCCCTCTCAGAGAGAACCATACAATCGATTCGTTCTGAGTTGCTTTTGGTTACATCGTGGTAGGGATGATATTAATTGGATGTCGTCAAACGATCATTGTGAGACACGGTAATTAGAGGTGTTGGCATTGTACTATGGATGGTTGTCTTATAGGACTCGACTTATGTACCCCATCTACCTGAGTGAGTCCTTCATCGATTTGGATATATCTAAGGTATACTCAGAGATCCGATCATGCTGCTCCTACCAATGTCCACCGCATGGATGTTGATGAGATCTTTGGAGCGTACTTTAATCATCTAGTGTCAAAGGATGTATAATATATGTTAACTCCTCGTCTATGAAGTACGGTATACAACTACATTCAATAATTTTATAAAGTGTCACATTCTTTCCTAACAGTAAATTAAGAGGAATTGAGATCCATATATAAAGCGATTTAGCATGTGTTTGGTTTCAAGTTTGGAATAAAAAAAGCACAGTTGGGGAGTATTTTGCCGTGATTTTATCACGTTTTTATGAAGCTAAAAATTTCAACTTTTGCTGGAAGTGCTTTTTTTTTTTGTGGTTTCTACCGTGAATCCAAACAGACCATGAGTTGAAAAATAAACTCATCCGAAGATTAAAATCCAAAATGTAAATAAAAAATTGTGATAATAAAGAGTTACTCAAAACCGCCCTTACACATTTTATATAAGTTCGCACCAGCTACCAAAAAAGACAAATTAAGTATTTATATTAGAATATGTTGTACTTTAATTTGTTATGACATTAACATGACAAAGAACAATATCTTTATAAAATGAAATAGAATATAAAAATATTACTACCTTCGTCCCTAAATATAAGATCTATTGAGAAAATTGCGGAAATTAAAAAAATTGATTAAGTATTAAATTCATTGCCTATTTTGTATAATTTTACAAATTTATCATTAGAAAAGAGAAATAGTTAATGTATATGTAACTATTTATTATAGATTGTAGAAAAAGATGTAATATAATTAGGGATAATTTTGGAAAAAAAATCATTAATGCACTTTGAAAGTTGAAGATTATCTTATAAAAAGAAACAAGAAAAAAAACTCAAAAAGGTCAAGAAAAAAACTTAAAAGGGTCTTATAATTAGGGACGAGGGTAGTAACTAACGATAGATTGATAAATTGATTTAGTAAGAAATTTTTAGGTTAGAAGTCCGATCTCCTAACTCTTGAAAAAAAATTGATTGAAACACAAAACAGAAGTGAAAATTCCGTACTACAGCGCCGCATATAAAAATAAGGGTTAAATATGTTAGGAGTTCTTATAAATATGCGACCTTCAATTTTGATCCCTCTAAAAATTTTCTTCGAATAATGGTCCTCTTAAAATTTTATGTCCATGTTTTTTTATTCTCCTACAATTTAGCTACGAATTAGCGACGGTTTTTTACTTAGCGACTGAATTAATAGCTAAATCGTAGTTAAATCATAGCTAAATTACAGGAGGATCAAAAAATAATTATAGAAAATTTTAAGAGGATTATTATTCGAAGAAAAAATCTAGAAGGATCAAAATTGAAGGATCGCATATTTATAGTGACTAAAAACGTATTTAATCCTAAAAATAATTATAACTCATATAATTGGGCTCGAATGGTAAACAAGGCTATGTTAAGAAACAAAAATTAAGAAAATATCGAGTTTGATTTTTAGTGAAAATAATATTTAGTTTGTACCAAAATCTCTCGGTATGAAGTCTGAATTACGAAAGCTTCATTCTCCTAAGAATCAAAATGCGAAAAGAAGAAAAAAAATTGATTAATTATTTTTTTTAACGAAAACTATGTTAAATATAATATATTTAAGTATGAAGAAAACTTAAATATAATTAATTTTTTTTAGTAAAAATATGATAAATATATTTATATAGTTTAAAGAGCGAAAAATAGAAAGAAAAAAATTATATATATGTGCGAAAAAACCATACCCTTATCATATTTTTATTAAAAAATAATAAAAATAACACATAAAAAAATCCTTTAAGTATTCTATTCTTTCCGTTAAAAAAAATATTATCATTCTTATTATAGATCAAAGTAGGATTATTTATTAAGTAATTTTTTAACTAAAACTATGTTATCTAAGTACAAAGAAAATTTAGATACAATTTATTATTTTTAATGAAAATATAATAAATATATTTATATATGATTTAAAAACTGAAAATAAAAGAAATCATATATGAATGTATGAAAACTCTATACTTATCAATATTTTTATTAAAAAATAATAAATATCACACAAAAAAATCATTTAAATATTCTATTCCTTCCGTTACAAAAAGTTTTCTCATTCTTAATTATATTATTTTAATCTTTTCCTTACATTGGCATTTGAACAAAAATATCTCATATAACATTTTACTTTTTAATAAACCATAAATCTTCTATTGTATTTAAATTCCAAAAGAAACTAGCACAACAAAAAAACTTCTACCACTTTAATAATTAAAAAAAAAATTACTATTTCTAATGAAAAATGAAAATTTATCATTCATATTCTTTTTTTTTTAATTATTAATTTATAAATATTAATAAATCATTTATATTAACACATAAATATAAAAAATAAAAAAATGTTGTCGGCAAAGACTTTATTCACATTCTTCATTATTATTATTATTATTATTATTATTATTATTATTATTATTATTATTATTATTATTATTATTATTATTATTTTTATTATTATTATTATTATTACTTTTTCTATTTATTAGCATTTAAAAATTAATAAAAAAATATGTAATTAAGAATGGGTATACTTTTTTAAATTAGTTTGTTTAAAAAATTAGCCAAAAAGAATTACTACCAAGTTTAAAAAGAAATATAATATTATATAAAAAATAAAAGATTGGTTTAGAAATATTATATTATATTAATTCCATTCTTCTTCTTTTTGACTCAATATATATATATATATATATATATATATATATATATATATATATATATATATATATATATATATATATATATATATATATATATATATATATATATATATATATATATATATATATATATATATATATATATATATATATATATATATATATATATATATATATATATATATATATATATATATATATATATATATATATATATATATATATATATATATATATATATATATATATATATATATATATATATATATATATATATATATATATATATATATTACATACTTTATTTTCATATATAGAAAATGACATATTTTAGTAATAAATTTATTTAAAAAATACATAAAATAAAAATATAATCTACATATTTATTTCATCGATTTGACTATATGATTTAAAATATATTATTATATTAAGTAAACTTATAGAGTAAGATATTGTAGAATGGTATATCACATTATCACCCTCACATATAAAGAAGTTGCTTCTCCACCAATGAATTCATTCTCTAATTCCAATCCAAACAAGAATCATTGCTCTATTGACAATTGTTACATTGGTGACAATTCTACATAATTATAGCATATAACTAATCAACAACAAAAAAAAAACACAATCTTGAAGAGAGATAGCTTAGGAGAGAGAGAGAGACACACATAAGAAAACAATCTTTATCATCTTTAGATCAAACCCATTTGAGTTGAGATGCAGAAGAGTACTTTAGGATCATCAAAATCAACATCAAAATGCACTGCTGTGTTACCCTATCAAACCCCAAGGTTAAGGGATCATTACCTTCTTGGGAAGAAACTTGGGCAAGGACAATTTGGGACAACATATCTTTGCACACACAAAACATCAGGGAAACTCTATGCTTGCAAATCAATTCCAAAGAGGAAGCTTTTGTGTCAGGAGGATTATGATGATGTGTGGAGAGAGATTCAGATCATGCATCATTTGTCTGAACATCCTAATGTGGTTCAGATACAAGGGACCTATGAGGATTCTGTGTTTGTGCATTTGGTGATGGAGCTTTGTGCTGGTGGGGAGCTTTTTGATAGGATTATTCAAAAGGGTCATTATAGTGAGAGAGAGGCTGCAAAGCTGATTAAGACTATTGTTGGTGTTGTTGAGGCTTGTCATTCTCTTGGTGTCATGCATAGGGATCTTAAGCCTGAGAATTTCTTGTTTGATACTCCTGGTGAAGATGCTAAAATGAAGGCAACAGATTTTGGCCTCTCTGTCTTCTACAAGCCAGGTTCATTTCTGTTTTCATGTTTTTTTGATGCATAGGGATCTCTGTGATATAGCACGTATGTTGTCCTCGGTTGTTTATGAGTATCTATTTTGTATGAATTTTTTATCATCACATTTTCTCGGTCTCTTTTCAGGACAAACCTTTCACGACGTTGTTGGAAGTCCCTACTATGTTGCTCCTGAGGTATTGTGTAAGATATATGGACCTGAAGTCGATGTTTGGAGTGCTGGTGTCATCCTATACATCTTACTCAGCGGTGTTCCACCTTTTTGGGCTGGTAACTATTGTAGTTTCCGTTGTAATTCTCTTCGTTTTGTGCGCCTATGACATTTTTCTTCTTGGTAATTTATATTAGTGATTTGCTTCTTATGTCCTTGTATGCCTGCTCTACAATCACTTTTTCTATTACCTTCAGAAACCGAATCGGGAATTTTCAGACAGATTTTACATGGAGATCTTGACTTTGAGTCGGATCCATGGCCAACGATCTCAGACAGTGCTAAAGATTTGGTAAAACTGATGTTGGATAGAGACCCTAAGAATAGAATCTCTGCTCATAATGTCTTATGTGAGTTCCTTCGCTACTAATTGTTACTGCATTTTTACGTGCTAAACCGTTATAATATCGCAGCCTTGTAGAATATATCTAATAACAACAGAGTTTATGTATAATCAGGTCACCCTTGGATTGTTGATGATAAAGTTGCACCTGACCAGCCTTTGGACTCTGCAGTTTTGACGCGTCTAAAGCATTTCTCAGCGATGAATAAACTTAAGAAGATGGCATTACGTGTACGATTTTGAATGATTTGTATAATCTATCGACTTCTAGTTTACATCTAACTCATTTTGCTTCTAAAAACAATTTTCAGGTCATAGCAGAAAGACTTTCAGAGGAAGAAATAGGCGGATTAAAAGAGTTGTTCAAAATGATCGACACAGACAACAGCGGGACAATAACTTATGAGGAACTCAAAGATGGTCTAAAAAGAGTCGGCTCTAATCTCATGGAATCTGAGATTAAATCGCTTATGGATGCGGTACGTGTGTTATCATTATCATAGAATGTAATAGATAAGGTGTTTTATATATTTTCAAACAAGTTTCTCTTGTGAACTTTTGCAGGCTGATATAGACAACAGTGGAACAATAGACTACGGCGAATTCCTCGCGGCTACACTGCACTTGAATAAGATGGAAAGAGAGGAGAATTTGGTTGCAGCTTTTGCCTATTTTGATAAAGATGGTAGCGGTTACATCACCATCGACGAGCTTCAAACAGCTAGTAAGGACTTCGGCCTCGGCGAAGTACATCTGGACGACATTATCCAAGAAATCGATCAAGATAATGTAAGTTTCTTGAAATATCTTTGCTCAATCACTAGCAGAGTCGTCTCAAACTTTTAAGATGCCCTGTGTAAGATGCTGAAGTTAGGGAAATTTTTTAAGGGGCCCTATTTAACTGTAAATTAACTGTAGAATATGTGTATGGAGACCCTTTTTCTTATTATATCTTAATCATGAAAAGCGTGAGGCCCTCTGTTGTAGACTGTCTTGCACACTCTTAAAGACGACTCTGATCACCCGCATGTCTGGATTATGTGATGGTTGTAACTCTTTAGTCTACCATGGTGTACTAATTTTGTATATTTTTTGTTTCAGGATGGGAGAATCGATTATGGTGAGTTTGTGGCGATGATGAAAAAAGGCGATGAAGATATGGTTGGTAGGAGCAGAACCATGAAAGGGAATTTGAACTTCAGTATTGCAGATGCATTTAAAGTGAATGACTCTTCTTGATATCTAACTGAAATCTTGTGTACAGTTAGGAAGAAGGAATGGTAGAAGAGATATATCATAGTCTAACTTTCTCAAAGCTACATGATTGTGATATGTTTGATTTTGGAACTTTGTTTATGTTGTTGAACAATGTTTTAATATATTTGCAATACATTTTCTTCAGAAACGTCCACAGAAGTTTAATATATTCATTTCATGTATACTTTAATTTTGGTTTTGATGGTTATAGTTGTTAAGAATGAATGATGTCACATTTCAATATGTCTAAGGTAGGGGTCATAACAGTAATAAAGAGATTTACATTTTGAGTGATTAATTGGAGAACTTATACAATTTGAGTCATGATCAAAACTTGCACTCAAAGGCTTGACCTCGGTAAAAGAAATGGACAAAGGAATATATTAGTAGGTTTATACAACAGAAATGTTACAGGTTAAATTGGAGTTCATAAGAGTTGTAGCTGGATTGAGAAATTTCCTACATGAATTATGCATTGGACAGTTTTTGAAATTTGGCATGACGAGTTAGCTGAGGCTATAGTTTGACATCTCTACCTTTTTTCAGTTGAAACATCTCTAATGAAACTATTTATGGCGCAAATGAAAATTGTCTCGGAAGTGTATTTTCGAAAATGTATTTCCGGAATAATGTCTGTCGAAAAATGGAACGAATTTCAAAAACGAATGAATTATAGTGCATATCAGAAATACATTTCCGATTTTCCAGAAACATTTTCGAAATTGCATAGGGTATTTTTCAACCCTATAGGGTGAGTTAAGAAATTCCCTAATTTTTTGTGTGTTTGGCAAATGCTAGCATGTGTGGAATCCAATCTACTACCTCTGCATTCTTCGGTCCACTCTCCTAACTTGTTCATATGTGTGTTCGTTTCATAACAATAAAATGGGCTGGTCTCGAATTTTTTCGTTATTAAGAGTGTTTGAATTAAACTCAAAATTTTGAGTAATTCCAAATCAATTTTGATGAACAAAATTCAATCAGTTCGATAGAATATCTCTCTTATTCTTCATTTTTCACTCAAGTGAATCAACCAACCTGGTTGCAAAATGATTTTACGCATCAATTGTTAATGAAAGAAGAAAAAAGTTAGGAAGAAAAAGATTAGGGTTTTAACAAAATAAGGGAAGAAGAAAACTATTTTTCTGCAGAGTTTCTCTCTATTCACAACCTTGTGATTTTATTATGCAACTGCAAGTGATTACAAAATAGAGGTTACTCCCTCTATTTATAGTTTTACGTTTGCTTGCTACCTAACTGAAAGCCCAAAACTATAAAAGTCCAAAATACTTATTTTGATCAAAGTCGAAATCCTACGTCGAGGCTACCTCCTTCGACACTTTGACTGCTAAACAACTCGACACACACACATACATCAATTTCGACATACACATAATTTTGACACAAAGAATTAAATTCTTAACACACCATCTAATTTATTGTTAAACTATCTACATTCATCATTGGTGTCTTGGTTCAGCAGGTGTCGAAGTCGAGTTTCATTTTTCCATCTCAAATCTCTTGAATATTTAATTTGCATATCTTCTTTGATGCATCATCAAACCTCTACTACTCTTGTAGAATTCGATGTCAAGGAAATATGAAATGTCTTCCAGATCTGATTTTTCAAATTCCTTGTTGAGATCACCTTTGAAGTCTTTGATCTCCTTCTTACAGCTACCTGTTATCAATAATTCATCGATATAGAGACATAATATAAGCAATTCACTATTACTTTTTCTTACATATACTCCATGCTCAGTTGTGCACTTCACAAATTCCTTCTCCCTTAGGAAACTGTCAATCTTCTTGTTTCAAACTCTTGAAGCATGTTTAAGTCTATACAAGGCTTTATGCAGCCTGCATACCTTTCTTTATTCGCCTTGTTTCACAAAATCAACTAGTTGTGCAACATAAACTTCTTCGTCTAAAGGGATATTCAAGAAATACATTTCACATCCATCTGACATATGTTCCAATTGTTCATGATTGTTAGACTAACAACCAACCTAGTTATTTTGATCCCAGCAACAGATGCAAAAACTTTATCGAAGTTGATTCCTTCTTTTTGAATAAATCCTTTTGCTACAAGTCTAGCCTTGTGTCGAGTTACTTCCCCTCTGGGATTCAACTTCACCTAATATACCCACTTGACATTAATTTCCTTCCTTCCTTGAGCCAATTCGACAAGTGACCAAGTATTTTTGACTTCAATGGACTTCAGTTCCTCATTTATAGCTTTTACCCACTTCGAATCCTTCAATGCTTCAACAACATTGACTAGTTCGACATCTGCATAGAAAGCATAATGTATCAGCTCACCTTTATTATCATCATATCATCTGATGTAATCACACAATCCTGCGACCTTGTAGACATGCGTCTCGTTCTTTGAGGTCTGCTTGGGCCTGCTTCACCTCTAATTTCCTCTTGTGGAACTTCTTATCTTTCAACTTCAGTGGTTGGTTCTTCACATAACATTCTCACTAAATCTTTGTTTACATTTACATTCCACTCTCATTCTTTAAGCTCATCTATAATCATGTTCCTACTTATCACTACTTGCTTATTCACCGGGTCGAACAACTTGTAACCTCCAGTCAAATGATATCCTACTAGGATCATTTAACTTGACTTATCATCAAATTTTCTTCTCAATTGATCTGGCACATGTCTATGTGATATAGATCCAAATGCTTTCAGATGACTTAAGCTAGGTTTTACACCATACCAACATTCTTATAGCGTAATTCCTTCTAGCTTCTTTGTCGGACATCTGTTTAAAATATATGTTGCAGTGAATACAACTTCATCCTAAAACTCTTTAGGTAAATGATTGTCTTTCCACATACTTCTCACTGTATTCATGATGGTTTGATTCTTCCTTTCAGCAATTCCATTTTGTTGTGGAGTGTAGTGTGGCACCACCTCATGCATAATATCTTTTTTCTTATATAGCATGTCGAAGTCTTTCGACACACATTCTCCACCACCATTAATCATCAGAATATTGAGATTTCAACCACTTTGTCTTTCGACCATAAATTAAAACTTTGCAAATCCCTTGATCCCTTCACTTTTCTTGATCAGGTAAGTCCATAGTTTTCTACTAAAATCATCTATGAATATGACAAAGTACTTTTTACCTCCAGTCGAATCCACCTGAATTGGACCACACACATCAAAGTATATGATTTAAAGATTTGCCTTCATCTTGCTTCCTGCATCCTTGTTGAAGTTATTCTTGTGTTGCTTCGTCTGCACACATTCCTCACACACTTCGTTTGAAATATTGATTTATGGTAACCCTAAAACCATATTTCTTCTCTTCAGATCTCTGATGTCTTCGAAGTTGAGATGGCCAAGTTTATAGTGCCATATTCATTCGTCCCCGCTAGCTGCAATTGCAAGGAACTTATGCTCCATCACATTTAGTTTGATCTTGAAGGTTTTATTATGAGACATAGGAGCCTTAAAGATTAATCTTTCTCTTGCGTCAACGACTCTCATCATCTTGTCTTTGATAGATACCTTGTAGTTCTTTTTGACCATCTTCCCTATACTTAGAAGATTAGTTTGCATGCCTGGTATATACAATACATTGGAAATCACTAACCTCTTGCCATCTTTCCTCATTATTAGAGTATCACCAATACCTTCAGCTACTAGAGTATTGTAATTTGAAGATTTCACCATCTTCTTCATTGAGGATTTTATGTTGACAAACCAACCTTTCTTTCCAGACATGTGTCATGAGCGTCCTGAGTCCAAGTACCATCGATCCTTGAATATCTCTTCATCTCTAGCTGTGACCATCAGCACCATATCTTCTTCTTCATGTTTGGAAAACTTTGCATCACTTTATTGATTCTTTTGTTTTTCTAGACAATCAGTAGAGTAGTGATCATACTTATGACAATTGAAACACTCAATGTGACTTTTGTCAGGCTTTCTACCTCCACCTATTCTTCTATCTATAGCACCACCTCTTTGGTTGTTTTGGTATGATGGTCTTCTCTAGTTCGACAAATTTATATCTTGTTGGTTTTGACCAGTCAAATTTTTGTAGCCTCATCTACCTTTATTGTCGAACCACTTTCCTTTTCCTTTATTTTCTCTTGTTGATTGAGCCTTCAAAGCCACATCACTCTTCGACTCCCCCATAACTCTTTAAGCCATTCTTTGTTCATGAGATTCAAGTATCCCTTGAAGCTCTTCATTTGTAAATATTGACAAATATTTCGAATCTTCTATGGCAACCACCACATGGTCAAAATTTGGATCCAAAGACCTCAAGATATTTGCATCAACTGATCTCGATGTCAATGCTTCTCCATATACTTTTATTTGATTCACCATATTCGTAACCCTAGTGAAGAAATTTATTCTTCCATCTGAATCAATTCATATGTTATTTTGTGAGTTTGTAACCTAACCTCTTTCACTTTTTCAATGCCTCCAATCGATTTCTCCATAATTTCCCATGCTTCTTATGTTGATTCAACATCACTCAACTTCTCAAATTTGTCTAAATAAGCACATTGATGAATTATAAAGAGAGCTATAAATTTTAATTTTTAATTCTTTTCCTCCTTTTCTTCATCTGTTGTTCCTTTGTAAACGGTGATACACATTCCTTCACAAGATCCCAAAGATCTTGATAACAGAAAACCCCTTTCATCTTCTTGCACCAGTTCTTATAATTCTGACTCTTCAAAATCAGAATACTCGTCAGAAAATTCCCATTTGGATGATTCACTTCCATCACTATTGCTTGCCTCGAATCGTTAAGCCAGGGCTCTAGATACTGAATGTTGGAATTGCACCACAAACTTTGAGTAATTCCAAATCAATATTGATGAACAAGATTCAATCTAGATGAACAAGATTCAATCTAGATGACCGAATACCTCTCTTTTTCTTCATTTTTCACTCAATTGAATCAACCAACTTGGTTGCAAGATGATTTTGCATAGTAATTT